TGAGAATAGAAAGCAAATGAGCCGGGCGTGGCAGCGCAGGCCTGCGATCTGAGCACTTGGGAGGCTGAGGCAGGAGGAGCGCCACCAGTTCGAGGCCAGCCTGGGCTGCATAGCGAGACCCTGTCTCTACCCCCTCATAAGAAGGCAAGATCCAAGTCAAGAAATTTGAGCGGCATTTTCGCTTTTTTCCATTACATCTGGACAGCCACCGAGACCTATAGATTTTGCCCAGAAGCACACTTGCCCCCATTCTCCTGCTGCTGCTCCAGAAGTACACAGCCCTGCCATCTGCTTGCTGGTTGTTATTAAATCCTCCTTCCTGTCTCTGTGCTTGGGCTTTCCCCTCCTGCTCCCTAAGAGCCACAGCCCATCCATTCTTTTCTCTCTTTTTTTGGTATATTTGTTTATTTATTTAGCGATACTGGGGATTGAACCCGAGGCCTTTGCACTGACCGCATGGACATCCCCAGCCCTTTAAAAAAAAAAGCCACTCAGTGTTCTAACAGTCCAGTCTGAGTGGGTTCCTCTCTCACTTAATTTTTTTCTTCTCCTTCTTTTTCTTTCTTTTTTCCTCAGTGATGGAGAAGAAACCCAGAGTCTCATATGTGCTAGACAAGCGCTCTTCCCACCAGCTACATCCTGGCCCTCCCTAGAGTACCCGTGGCGCTGCACACACGCAGAATGGAGTTCATGCTTCTTTTCTTGGCCTAAACCCTCCAGTCACTCTCTCAGCTTCAGAGCCTCCACCTCTTCCGCGCATGCCTGCTGCACACTGGGACGCCCAGGTCCGGCCCTTTCGTTTTGTTTTGTTTTTGGTACCGGGGATCGAACTCGGGTCCTTGCGCTTGCACAGCAGCTGGCGAAACCACTGAGCTACATCCTGGCCCAAGTCAGACCCTTTCTCACCTCTGGCTTTACACGCATTCCTTCCTCCACCCGAACCCCTCCTGCCCCCACTGTGAAGGCCAGGCCTTCCGCACTTGCCTGTGGGTGTCCAGGAGCCCCGGTCAAGGACCCAGCGAGCTCTCCCTTTTCGTCCACCAAGCACTCGTGCTCAGTGAGTGTTTGTGGGGTACAAGGAATGCTGGACAGGAGGGCTGAGACCTGCAGGACTCAGAACAGCGCCCTCCAAGGAGTGGCCCCTTGGCATCCGGGTATGTTGGATTAAAGCACTTGGGAGGCCTCAGAAGCAGCTTCCGAACCCAGGTCTCTCTGATCTTCTCCTGCCCTCCTGTCTCTTGCCCCTTTTTCTCTCCCAAAGCAAGCTCTATAGGAACTAGAATTCCTCTTCCCCGAGACAGCTCCTACAAACTGCAGCATAGAAATAATACTGAATAAAACCTCGAAGTATTACTACAACACCCATTCCACCCCACACCTTCCCATGGAACAGCTGGCCATAAAGAAATCCTCGCTGATCTACCTCGTCTGAGAGCAGGGCTAAGACCCCCTATCCAGAGGGATCTTGCAGCATGCCCAGAAGGAAAAAAATGCCACGTAGACAGGCTACAAAGAAGCTGAACAGATGGGCTCGGCTGATTTTTCCCACTAACTCCACTGGGTCAGGCCCTGGTTGTCTCATCACATTTCTACACATCCTTTCATTCTTCATCTAGTGTGAACATACAGTGGACAGTGTTCCTTCGGTCTTCGGGCCTTTATTTCTGCTTTGTTTTGCTTGTTTGTTCTGAAACAGTTTCAATATCTAGCCCAGGCTGGACTCAAGCTTGTGGTCTTCCTGTCTCAGCCTCCCAAGTGCTGGAATTTCAGAAATGCACCACCAGGCTGTCTTGAGTCTTCATTTCTGAAGTCTCCTCTGTTACATAAAATTTTGATTAGGGCGGGGATTTAGTTCAGTGGTTTCGCCGCCTGCTGCACAAGCCTAAGGACCCGAGTTCAATCCCCAGTACCAAAAAACCCACAAAACTTTGATTAAATAAATTTTTTGTTTTTCTCTTGTTAACTTGTCTTTTATAGGAGTGTGGGCTGTGCTTCTTATGAGGGATGAGGAAAGGAACCATATTGTCTGGCCCCTACAGAATAAAAAGAATTAATAAAACTAGTAAAACATGGCAGGAGGGCTGGGGATTTAGCTCAGTGGTTCCACCGCCTGCCCTGCAAGCACAAGGACCAGAGTTTGATCCTCGGTACCAAAAAAAAAAAAAAAACATGGCAGGCAAAATTACAAGACCTCAAATAGAGGAGAAAAAGAGGATGAATAGCTTATGCACACCCAGAACATTATCTGCATGTCACAGGACACCAAAACTCTTAAGGAACCTTGTTCTGAGAATAACAGTGTGCCCAGTGGGCAGGGGAGGGATTTAGACTCTGCACCACTAGTCCCAGCATCTCTGCAACCCTCCAGGTGGAATCAAAACAGCAATGACAGCTGTGCTATTATTTGAAGTAGCCAGCCGGTATTATGGCATCTAGATCTTATAAAAAGTGAATAAAATCATGTTTAGAAACTTTGCTTTTTTAGGGCCAGGGATTTAGCTCAGTGGTGCCACGCCTGTCTCACAAGCACGAGGTCTGGAGCTTGGTCCCCGGTACCAAAAAAAACCAACTTTGTGTTTTGGGGCCGGGGATGTAGCTCAGCAGAGCTACGCCTACCTGGCAAGTGCAAGGACCTGAGTTCAATTCCCAGTACCAAAAGAAACTTTGCTTTTTTAAAACCTGTAACTTAGAAGCTAAGTGAAAACTGACTGATGTCAAAGAATGTTCATATCAATGTTTTTCACATCAACCAAAATTAGAAGCCAACCAAATGTCTACCCACCAATGTAAGAATGATGGAAGAGAATATTATATCACAATAAAAAGTCTGCTGATACAGGCAACCATGGGGATGATCTCACAAATATAATGTTGAGGGGGAAAAAAAGCCAAACACAAACAGGTGCATATTGTATGATTTCATTTATATGAAACTGAAAAGCAGGAAGAGCTAATCCTTGTCGATAGCAGTCAGGGAGAACTTGGTTGTCTTTGGAGGGTGTTGACTGGAGGGGCCACCAGGGAACCTTCTGGGGACCCAAAGATGTGTGGAAATGGGTAGCACTACATGGTCACAGAGATGGACACATCCATCGGCTACGCCCCTCAGCAGGCCGTGCTCAGTGAGCTGAGTTGCACACTGATAAAGGAGAAACATCTGGGGGTGTGGCTCAGTGGTCAGGCGCATGCTCAACATGTGCAAGGCCCTGGTTCAATCCCTAATGCCAAAAAACATGGAGGGGAGGCCTGGGGATTTAGCTCAGTGGTTTCGCCCCCTGCTGCACAAGCGCAAGGAACCAGGTTCAATCCCTGGTACCAAAAAAACAACAACAAAGAAAAGAAGATGGAGGGGAAGGAAAAATAATCCTGAATGATTTTATTTTTATTTTTTGTGGTGCTGAAGGTTGAACCTAGCGCCTCTCGCTGCCATTGAGCTGCACCTCCAGCCCCCAAAGTAGTGTGCCGGTTCTCCAAACGCAATTTCAAGGCAAGGCCCTTGGCTGGCTCCACTTCGCTGGGTCACTCCTCTTAGGGCCCTCCTGTGTGGAATTCCGAAGCTCCCCTGTGGAGAATATTGGGAGCCTGGAGTGTGAATTTGGGGTTGTAACAGTCTGATCTGTGTATCAGAGGCCGATTAGTCCTCCAATCTGCATCAAGTGGTAAAGGAAGACAGACAGACACAATTCCAAAGTACATGGCGGGGTGGGAGGTCAATACCAGAGTGGGGAAAGACAGACACTCCGAGCTAGCCACTATTTATTGAGTGCACACGATAATCGGAAGGAGCATCAGCCGTGTTGATGAGCATCTTAGGTTGCTGAGGAGGTGAGGTGAGCAAAGCATTCTTACAAGAGTAGGTGACATGAGATAGCAGGCTAATGAGGAGTGGATCCTTTCCTCAGGAGAAACTTTTCTCTCTCTTTTTTTTATTACCACTTGGTTCTCAAAGACCCAGGATGTCTTCAGCTGATATAATCTTGCCCTGGAGCATCACAGCATGCAGAGACCATTGAGGCACCCCGCTGTGGCTGGAGGCACACGGAGTTGTCTCTGCCTGCCATAGCTGGCTCGCGGGCAAGGAGACATTGGGCCTGAGACAGCCCTAACCACAATTTAATTATGAAATGGTTTTCCCCCCAAAATTATATAGCATGGCTGTCGACACAGTTGGGCCACAGGGCGGATGGCATCCTTCAGGGATGGGGTGAGCCCTTCGTGTACGCGAGTACATGTGTCATCCCTGGTTGAGGGGACCAAGAACCGTCTGCCAAGCCTCGACAGTCTGCAGAGGGAAGGGGCTCCGGGAATGTTTTCACCAGGGCAGCGGGTGCACATCCAGGAGCTGTACCTGCAGATCTGCAGCCCGCCAGATGACCTGAAAAGCACACACAAGGCCGGCGGTACAGGAGAAGGAAATGGGCAGAGAGAAGCCTGCAGTCAGCCAAGGGCGCAGAGCTGTTATAAATGAGCGCTCTTCAGGGAACTGCGCTTTCAGCCCACAGCCCAGCTGCTCCCCAGTAGCTCCCTGAATTGCCTGTCCCTTCTCTGGAACTCCTAGGCCTGACCTCACTCCTGGCTGTCCCGGCCCACGGTGCCTCTGAGCCCACTCCCTTTCCCAGAACTCAGTTGCCTGAGCCCCCAGGCTGCGGTTCTCTCCTAGGCCTCAGCCTTTCCTGCCTTCGACTGAAACAGCAGCATCTTCTAAGCCCTGGGGGCTTCCCCAGGCCCCAGCCCCGACCTAGAACCCGCCCGCCGCCTGCCTCGCTGCCACTGCCGCTTCCTCTATAAAGGGACCCAAGCGTCCCTCTGGGCCCAGGGGCCCTGCAGAGCAGGTGAGAATCTCCTGCCCATCTCCCTGCCTGCCTCGAATCTCGGTCCTGCGCGCCTGCCCCTCCACCTGGGCCCAGCCCCTCCTGCTCCTCTGGCCCGGATCCCTGCCTGCCTCTGCCTGGGCCCTGGTATGTTTGGTTTTGGTTTGTTCCCCAGCGGTACCTCTTCACTTGTCAGCCTCTCTGTCCCTGTTGCAGGCCCTCTGATCCTGTGGTATCCCTCTCTGCTCCCTCCTGTCTCTCTCTTCCTGCCTCCCCAACACACCTTGGCCTCCCTGCCTGCGTCTCTGCCTGGCCCTTCTCTGTTTTGAGCCCCATCTGCCAGGGTGGTTGGTGGAGGTCTGTCTTCCGCTGTGCGCCCCGCCCCACACGCCCTCTCTCTCCCCGCAGTCTCTCTCCCCATGTCACCACCTGGACGTCTCCACCTCCCGAGGGTGCGTGGCGCCCCCCTCCTCTTCCTCCTGGGGCTGCTGCTGGCCCTGCTGCCGCCTGGGGCCCAGGTGAGGCAGTAGAGCAATGGGGCTGCTGGGGGGACCAGCCCCACCCGGACCCCTGGGGACTTGGCCACTCTCTTCCGCCCTAGGGACTCCCTGGCACTGGCCTCCCGCCCTCAGCTGCCCGGATGGTCAACCAACCCTCCTACGGCCCCCTCAAACCTGCTGCTCACCTCATTGGTAAATGTGCACCAGACCTCCCCAGCTCTCCTCTAGCCCCCACCCAGGGACCCAAGTGCCCCCCACTTCCCTACCCCAACGCAGAGGCAGCCTACCCCCACCCCATTCCACCACCCGGGGGTGGAGACCTCTGACCCAGACCCTTGATCCCCCAACCCCTGTGCTCTTCCCAGGAGACTCCGGCACACGGGACTCGCTGCGCTGGAGAGTGGGCAGGGACATGGCCTTCCTCCGTGGCTTCTCTTTCAGCAACGATTCTCTCCTGATCCCCGCCAGTGGCCTCTACTTTGTCTACTCCCAGGTGGTCTTCTCTGGGCTGAGCTGCTCTCTCACGTCCACGCCCAACTATCTCTACCTGACCCACGAGGTCAGGCTCCTCACCTCTCAGTACGGCTCCCCTCTGACTCTGCTCAGCACCCAGAAGTCCCAGAAGTCTGTCTGCCCAGGGCCACAGGACCCCTGGGTGCGCTCCATGTACCAGGGAGCTGTGTTTCTGCTCAGACAGGGGGACCGGCTGTTCACCTACACAGAGGGCATCCACCACCTGCTCTTAAGCCCCAGTACTGTCTTCTTTGGAGCTTTTGCTGTGTAGAACTTGGAAAATTCCAAAAAGGAAATAATTTTTGGTTTCAAGTCCTTCTCACCACTTGGCCTCCATTCTGACCATTTCAAGGGTCACCACCACCTCTCCTTTGCCCGTCCCAACAGTCTCGAGTCTCCCCGACTCAAGCCACCTGGAGCTTTTACAGCAGGAATTCCAGGCCCTCCCGGGGACCACACCTCCCAGAACATCTGGGTGCCCTGCTGAGAATCCAGAGGGGAGCTTTTGTCTGCCCAGCTGGTCTAGGTGGGGCCTGGACCTGCCATGGAGGAGGAGCAGGCATGGGGATGCTTGGCTGAGGGCTGGAGTCAGGGAAGGGGGACTATTTATGAAGGGAAGTTCTAAGTTATTTATTTATGGAGCATAGAGAGAGGCCCCAGAGTCAAAGACTGAGAAGGCCATCCGCGCCCAGAGAGAGTGAGAACTAGGTCTGAGGGCCGGGGGCTCTAGAAGGAAGCAGAAGGCTCTGAGAGTCAGCCACTGCTTCACTCAACACCACAAGGAGCCATCTGCGCCCCGGATGAAGCCCAATAAACCGCTTCTCTCTGAAACACTGTCTGCTGTGACTGTCTGTCTGGGGCGGGAGAGAATTTTCCAAGTCTCTAAGGAACGGAGGGGCTGTGGGGAGAACAAGGATCTAAGGGGCCCGAGGAGCTGATACAGGGCCAACTCAGAGCCCAGGCAGCCTGACTGCTGCAGGGACAGGATGGGAGGCAAAGGGGAAATGGGGCTAAGGCCTCGGCTAGCTATGGCCACATGTGCAGACTGTGGGTGAGGGGGGTTCCAAGGGGCTTCAGGGCAGATGCGTCCCCAAAGAAGGGTGAAGAGTGGCGGTGTACAAAGCACTCCGGAAGACACAGGCCCCTGAGACGCCTCCAGAGCCACAGGGTATGGGACACGTTGTCTGTCTGAGGAAGCATGGCCCTATGACAGGGCCCTGAGAAGCGGTGGCTTCATGAAAACAACAGGGCCCTCAGAGTTCCTTGGAAGCCAAGACTGAAAGCAGCAGTGTGAGGCCCAGGTCAAAATGAAAGCAGAAGGCTGGCCCCGTGGGTCCCTGAATCTCCAGGGCTGATTTCACTCCCTCTGGGGCTGTCCCAGGCTTCTCCCCTCAGCCTGCCAGAGGCCCCGAGTATGCTGCCAGTCACAGGCTGCCCTGTCCCCAGCTCCTGCCCCAGGGACCCAGCTAGGGCCTGCCTCCCCGCCCTGTGGTCTCCCCTCAAAGACGCCACTTTCTGATGCCCTTCCCCTATTATCCTCCTGTGAGTCCTGTCTGGAAATCAGAGGGAAGCAGAACACAGACCTGGTACCCCAAAGAAGCAGAGAGTCAGCATTGGGAGGGAGGGGGAATGGGGTCCCACTTCCAGGGTCCAACATACACAGTGGCAACTGCCCAGGAAGCTCCCCTCAGAAACCAGTGGGGAGGTGAGGAGGATCCTTGATGCCTGGGTGTCCCCAACTTTCCAAACCCCCGCCCCCGTGATGGAGAAGAAACCGAGCCCGAAGGTGTAGGGCCCACTACCACTTCCTGCAGATGAGCTCATGGGTTTCTCCACCAAGGAAGTTTTCCGCTGGTTGAATGAGAGCCTTTCCCCGCCCTCCTCCTGCCTGGGGCTATAAAGGCAGCTGTCTGCACAGCAGCCAGACACCAGGGACCAGCCGGGAGGGAGAGAAGCACCTCCAGACCCCTCTGGAAAAAGCCCAGACAACCCAGACAGGCGGGTTCTGCCCCTCTCACACCCACCCTGACACCGCAGCCCTCTCTGCAAAGGACGCCATGAGCACAGAAAGCATGATCCGGGACGTGGAGCTCGCTGGGGAGGAGCCCCTCCAGAAGGCAGGGGGCCCCCAGGGCTCCGGGCGGTGCTGGTGCCTCAGCTTCTTCTCCTTCCTGCTCGTGGCAGGAGCCACCACGCTCTTCTGCCTGCTGCACTTCGGGGTGATCGGCCCCCAGCGGGGAGAGGTGAGTCCCTGACACCCTTCACTCTGACGGATGGAAAGGGGGGAGAAAGGGGGCTACAGAGATGGGGCCAGGGAAAGAGGTGCTGGCAGGGAGGGCTGGGGAGGAAAACCATGGAGTCAGGTGAGGAGGCGGGAAGAGGTGTGGAGAGGGTTGAGGGAGAGAGACAGGGGCGGGATATCGACACGTGCTCACTATGAGTGCGTGCATGAATGAATGCGCAGGAAGACAGGCACAGATGTGGAGGGAGATGTGAGGTGTGGGGAGAGATGGGGAGACACAGGTGGTAAAGATGGTGAGACAGAGATGCAGGAGATAAGACAGTTGAGGGAAAGATGAGGAAAGAGTTGAGGGAAAGAGAGATAAGGAGAGACCTGAAAAGAGAGATAAGAGAAGTGAAGAATTTGTCTGGGCCACGCCTAGGGTTCGGGCAGTTAGTGGAAGAGGTGTTGAACAGACAGATGAGTGGATGAATGGAGAGACAGAACAGGTGGCAGAGAGGCCAAGCCGGGTGCAGCCAGCTGCTTCTCCTGGGATGCTAACCTCCTTCTCCCCAGCAGCTCCTGAGCAGCCTGCCCTTCAGGCCCCTGGCCCAGACACTCGCGCTCAGTAAGTTTCTCCAAAGTCTCTCTCCTAAATCTGGGTTTGGATGGGGTAGGTGGTCATGGGACGGAAGGAGTCGGGGAAATTTAGGGTTTTGGGTTTTGGGGGAGAAGAAATGGAAGTCAAAGCAGATATTTGCTGGGAAGTTTAAGGATCTCAACTTTTTCTCTCCTCTGTTCTCCACAGGATCAGCTTCTCAAAGCGGGAATGACAAGCCTGTTGCTCATGTTGTAGGTAAGTTCTCTGAGCCTTGGGATGGAGGAGCAGATGGGATGCAGAGCAACAGGATGTGGGCCTGCGCTGGGCTGGGAATAGTGGGTCTTGCAGACAGAGTGCAAGGGTTGCCAGGGGAGGGTAGAGGAACAGGGAGACCGTAAGGGGGACTCAGCCCCATGGGGTGTGGGAAGACAGAAGAAACCGGAAGTGGTGGGCAGAACTTAAGGGCCAGGATGCGGAGAGTGAACCAGCAGGGCCACACTGACTCACTTCCCCTCCCTCCAGCAAACCAACAAGGACAGGAGAAGCTGGAGTGGCTGAGCAAGCGTGCCAATGCCCTCTTGGCCAATGGCATGGATCTAACGGACAACCAGCTGGTGGTGCCTTCGGACGGGCTGTACCTCGTCTACTCCCAGGTCCTCTTCAAGGGCCAAGGCTGCCCCTCCTACGTCCTCCTCACCCATACTGTCAGCCGCCTAGCCATCTCCTACCAGGACAAGGTCAACCTCCTGTCTGCCATCAAGAGTCCCTGCCAGAAGGAGACCCCAGAGGGGGCTGAGCTCAAGCCCTGGTATGAGCCCGTCTACCTGGGAGGGGTCTTCCAGCTGCAGAAGGGAGACCGCCTCAGTGCCGAGGTCAATCTGCCCGACTATCTTGACTTCGCGGAGTCCGGGCAGATCTACTTCGGGGCCATTGCCCTGTGAGAAGGACAGATGTCTGTCCACCCCTTCCGCCCCCACCACAGTCCCTGTTGTTATTCACTCCTTCAGGTCTCCTCATCCTCTTCTGGCTCCGAAAGGGAATTAGGGGCTCAGGGCCAAACTCCAAGCTTGGAACTTTGAACAATGCCACCACTCAGAAACCCAGGGTGCGGGGATGTGTGGTGTGGACGATGGGATGCTCACTAACCACCATCAAGAATTCAAACGGGGGCTTCCGGTTTGGATCTCTGAATCCAATTGGGGACATCTGGAATGTGAGGATCAGGAAGCCTTTGGCTTGGGACACCCCTGGGGAGACCTCACCTAGAGCTTGACGTGAGTGAACCGCAGGCCTTCCTTCCTCCAAATGTTTCCAGAATCTTCCCCGAGCTATGGATCCCAACCCCCTCCACAGGGCCAAGCCTCTCTATTTATGATTGTACTCGTATTTATTATTTATTTATTATTTATTTATTTACTGATGAATGTATTTATTTGGAAGTTCAGAGTATCCGGGGGCCCACCATAGGAGCAGCCTTGGGCCGGACATGTTTTCTGTGAAAACGGAATGACCTATAGGGTGTTCCCCTCTGGCCTCCCGGCCTCTGTGCCTTCTTTTGCTTTTCTTTAAAACAAAATATTTATCTAACCCAGTGTCTTAATAATGCTGATTTGGTGACCAACTGTTGCTGCATCGCTGAAACTCTGCTCCCCAGGGGAGTTGTCTGTAATCGCCCTACTGGTCAGTGGCGAGAAATAAAGATTGCTTAGAAAGAAACCTGTTTGTTCTCTTGCATAGACTTCATTCTGCATCTCTCTCCCTGAGGGTGGGAGCCCACACACTTAGTCTTGTGGAGCCCAGGGTTCCCTTCCTAACACAGTCCAGTAGGCCCCCTCCACCAGGAAACAGGAGCCAGAACCTAATTACCTTTCCCTCGGGCCCCGGGAACTTCCCGCTGTGGGAATTCCAAGTCCCTGCTGGGAAAGTACTGCAGCTCTTTCCGGCTGTTGCTGTGGCTTGGGGGAGCCGGGAGGAGCCACATTCTCAGGTACCTGAATCACAGCCAAGGGACTTCCAGAGACTCAGGTGTCTGGACTACAGATCACTGGATCCCAGCCACTACCGCCCCCAACCCTGTCCTGACTGTGCTACCGAACCAGTCAACCTCAGCTGCTGAGGTGGACAGGATGCCACCGCACCTGGGCCCAGGAGGGAGGAGGCCCAGCCTCCTCTTGAGTCCAGCTGAGCACTTGGCATGGTGGGCACTGAGGGAACTCTGCCTACTTCCTCATCCTGCTGCCAGCTGTCTGTGTCCTTTCCTCTCAGTGGGTGAACCTCAAGAGACTAAAGAAAATGAAAAAACAAACAAACAAAAAAACAAAAAAGAAAATGAAAAAACAAAGAATGGGGGCTGTAGCTCAGTGGAAGAGCACTTGTTTAACACATGTAACACCCTGGGTTCTAGCCCCAGCATGGCAAAAACAAATAAAACCCCAAAAACCTCAAGGAATAAGATATGGGTGACTGGACCCACTTATCATCTTGATCTCACTTATCTTTTTAAGAGACAGATGAGGGCAGAGGTGTGAGGCAGTAAGTTGGAAAGAAAAAAGCATCCCTGTTAAAGAAAAAATTGCTGGGGGTTTAGCTCAGTGGTTCTGGCGCCTGCCTCACAAGCGCAAGGTCCCGAGTTCAATCTCCGGTACCAAAAAACAAACAAACAAACAAAAAATTCTCATTTGGGCCGGGGATTTAGCTCAGTGGTTCTGCCGCCTGCCTCGCAAGCGCAAGGACCCAAGTTCGATCCCCGGTACCAAAAACAAAAAAAAAAGAAGAAAAAATTAGTCAAAGCCAAGTACAAGCCCCTGGGTTTAATCCTCAACACCACAAAAAAACAAACCAACCACCTCAGCGGCTCCATGGTACTTGATAAAACATCATGAAGAAGGTTTTATTCAAGGTTATGGGCATCGGCACAGGGACTCCTGAAGTTGGGAAGGGAGACTGGGGTCAACTCCAAACGCAGCATGGGCCAGTGGGAATTGATAGCCAAGGAAGGGTGGGAGTCAAGTTATGGAAAATGACCAAGAGGAAAGAAAAAACAGGAGTCGGGGAATTCTGGCTAAAAGGTCTGACAGGATACTTGCTGAGTCTGGCCAGGTGATCAGCCCTCACCTGGAAGAGGGTGGAAGATGAGGAACCTGAGCAGATATTGGGGTGGTGATTGGATTTGAAGGCAAGGGCGGTGGGCTTTCAGGAAACTGACCTGGGGGCTGGGGATTTAGCTCCGTGGTTCTGCTGCCCGTCTGCCTTTCAAGTGTAAGGTCCCGAGTTCGATCCCCGGTACCAAAAGACAAAAAAAAAACAAAAAACAAAAAAGAAACTGACTTAGCAGGGTTGTTTGCTCAAACTGGATTTTACAAGGAAGAGTACAAATAAGCATAGGAGAAGATCTAGAAGCCCAGCTAAAGTTTGCTGGAGCTAAGAATCATTGTAACCCGCCCATGCCATGGGAAGTCTCTGCTGGACACAAACTCAAAGACCAGAGGCTGGGCTGGTGGCTCAGGCCTGTGATTCTAGCAGTTGGGAGGCTGAGGCAGGAGGATTGCCATGAGTTCAAGGCCAGCCTGGTGTACATGGCAAGACCCTGTCTCAAAAAACAAAAAAGGAAAGAGAAAAAGCCAGAGACAAATATGGACTCAGAAATGGAACCCAAAGAAAAGGAAGCCCCCATGGGGCTCTGAAGTCGGTTTTCCTCCGTGGTGGGTTGCCAGGAAGGGGAAAACCAACCATGTGGTATGCTGCCAGGGTGGGGTGACCCACGGGTGACCTAAATAGGGCCTTGGGTTCCCCTCTGCTTCCTCCATCCTGCGCTGAAAGTGGGTCACGGTGTGGGGCAAGTGCTATCACTCACCCCGCGGGCCCCCCATCTGACCCAGAGCCGCAAGAAGGGTGTGGACCTTCCTCCCGCCTCAGGCCTCGGGCTGCTGCCTCCTCCCTGCGTCCTCCATCCCCGCTGGCGGCTCCTCTCCACGCCCTGCTCACTGCCCCCAAGACCCGACTGCGGCTTAGGGGTAAGGGGTTTTCAGCACCCAGCAGGGCAGTGCTGGACCCGCCAGGCCACCGTACAGGCGACTGCTCTGTGCCTTCCTGGGCCTCGCCTCCCCTAAAGGACGCCCCTCAGGGTGGAGCGAGCCGGGGGAAAGGGTCAGTGCCGACCGGGGGTGGGGACTCCGTGGCCCAGGTCCTTCCGCCCTCCGAGCGGACTCCTGGGGGGCCTGGCGTTCCGGGGCGGGGGCAGCATCACCCCAGGGCAAAGGTGTCCAGGGTCACGAATGGTTGCGAGCACCGGGAAAAAATCGGAGACTAGCGAACTCAGGCCGGAATGAAGCCAGTCTTTATTTCATCAGGCCCAAGCTCGGCTTCCAGGCAGCGTCCCCATCGCCCCGGCCGCCGCCGGGTGCGGGCGTCGGGGCGCCCTCACCCCATCATCACGGCCCCGAAGAAGGTCTTGCCCCGCCGGTAGTCCACCAGCTCGGGGTGGCTGATGTTCACGTACACCCGCTCGCCGCGCCGGAGCTGCACCAGGCCGCCGAGGCCCACGCTCGCGTACCACAGCGGCCCGGGCTCTGGCCTCCCGGCGCGCTCGGCGCCCGGGCTCACGGTCTCCGCGGCCTCCAGCAGCAGCTCGGGCGCCCCCGGGCCGTAGGCGCCGCCCGCCCGGAGCAGCGCGCTGCGCAGCGTGAGCGCCCGGCTCGGCGCGGCCCGGCCGGCAGGGGGCGCGCGGCCGCGGTAGCCCACGTGGCAGTAGAGGAAATAGAGCCCGTCCCGCGGCGGCGCCAGGCCCTCGGCGCGCGAGAACCGCGTCCCGCTCCGCAGGAACGCCTCCTCCTGGTGCGCCTCCCAGCCCAGCCCCTGGCCCTTCGTCCAGGCGCCTGCGGAGAGACGGGCCGGTGGGCTCTGGGGCCCGGGCCGCAGGGTGGCGGTGCCGCCTGGGGCTGGCGGGAGCCGGGCTTTGCCCCGGGGGCTAGGGGAAGGCAGGGGGCACCGGCATTGGCGTGGCGGAGCCGAGGGACCTCGCCGTGGGCGGGCGGAGCGGGGCTCGCGCTACGAACGCGTCCGGCCCACAGCGTTACCTATGAGGTGGGCAGCCGGGAGCGGGCGGCTGAGATCTGTTTCTGGCGCCTCCCCCGGCAGCTCCCGAAACCCTGGAACTGCAGAAGAGTCGGCGATTGAGGAGGGGCCCCCGAGGGCGACGGAGCCCAGGGGCGCCTGCGTTCCTGCAGGCGGAGCGTGTGCAGTGCACTGCGAGCCGGGAGTCCCTGAGCGGCTGGAGGGCGGGCGGGCGCTCTTACCCAGTCCTTGCTGGGGCTGTGCTCCTGGGCCGGGGGTCTCCGTCACCTGCTGGGTGGGGTCACGGCGCCCAGAGTTCAGCTTCCGCTGAGGCCAACCCCGCCCCTCCCACGCGGACCCCAGCCCCGGGCTCGGGTCTCAGCGCCATCTGCAGGACACGCTCCCCGGCAGGGAGAGCAGGCGAGGCGTGAGTCACGGCAAGAGGAGAGATGCAGCCCCGCAGAAACGTGGGAAGAGTCAGCGAAGGGACTGCCATTCCACAGGGACAGCCAGCCGAGCCAGGTAGGCCAGAGGCCGGGAAGCCAGGGAGCATGGGCAAGACCCAGCCCTCGGGGCCGGCTGCAGCCACTCACCGATCCTCCCCGATCCTGCGGCACCAAGGCCAGCACTGCCAGGACCGTGAGGGGCACGGCCAGCAGCAGGGTCACCAGCGAAGTGGCCCCTGCCACAGCCAGCAGGAAGCAGCCCCTCACCTGGGGCCTCCCACTCGGGCCCTGCAGCCCCAGCGCCCCCATCCAGACTGAGCCAGGGCCAGGGAAGGGGGGCTTTCATACTTCAGGGGTGGGGCCACCCCTCCCTGCAGACCCACACACCTGGCTGGGACTTTCCGCACGCCCCTCCCTGCTCCCCTCACCCGGCTTCCTGTTTACCCAGAGCTGGGGTGGGGGTGGCTGGATGCCTGGGTTCTCTGAATTGGGGAAGGAGTTAGTTGGGGTAGAGCGACACTTTGCAAGGCAGAGCTGGCGGGGTTGGCTTTCAGATCTTCCAGCCCAGTGGGAAGGGAACCCAAGCCCCAGGGAGGGATGGTAGCTGCAGACGGCTGGGCGGCCTGCCCCGCAGTAACAAGGCAGGATCCAGGGCTCCCTCGTTCTCTGCGTTCCTCAACCCGAGGTGGCTGCTGAGACTAACCCAGGTCCAGGGCGGAGTCGGATGACAGCAGCTGGGGCCCAAGGGGTGGGATGGCTGCGTCCCTGAGAGGACCCTGTCCCCACCCTGAGCCAGCCTCTTCCCACTGCCCTGCTGACCCTGACTCCACGCTCTAGGTGGGAAAGGCAGTGGCCGAGGAGGGGTGGAAACGGAGCCTTAGCTCTCCAGCTGCAGACTGGAGTAATGAGGCACGCCCACCCTCAGCTTCAGGTCCTCAGGTCCTCCGTAGGTGTCTGCTAAATGCCTGCAAGTAAACGAATGGAAGAACAAAGGAATGGCCAAGCAGAACAAACGGCAAGGATCAACTGAGTGGAAGAGGTAGGCAGTGTGGGAGGAATGAGAGACCAGGGCCTCGGAACTTGCAGGCGGGCCCAGACCATTGCCCCTTGATGACATCTTTAGGTATTTGGGTAATATAATAATACAGCTAATATACAAGTAGCACTGGGCATGTGGTGACCGCTGACCTACATACTTCCTGTGCATTAATTCTTTTAATTCTGACAAAAACCCAAAGAGCACTGGGCGTGGTGGCACGAGCCTGTGATCCTAGCACTCAGGAGGCTGAGGCAGGAGGAGTTCGAGGCCAGCCCCAACTACATAGTGAGTTCCAGGCCAGCCTGAACTACATAGCAAGACCCTGTCTCAAAAAACCCCCCAAAGACAAAACAACACAAAAAAACAACCCTCAGCAGAAACAGACACAGAGACATTAAGAACTGTGGCTCAGGGGCAACCCACTTTCCGGTCCCATTCTGTCTCTCAGCCAGAAGGTTTCTTTCTCCCAATAAATTTTTCCTTCTCTTAAAAAAGAAAAAAAAAGAACTGTGGCTCAGGTGTGGTGTTCCAAGCCTGTATTCCCAACATTAAAGAGGCTGAGGTGGGTGAATCACTTGAGCTCAGGAATTTGAGGCCAGCTTGGACAACAACACAGCAAGCCTATGCACAGAGAGAGAGAAAGCAGAAATCTGTGGATGGACTGCAAAGTGGGTTAGAGGTGCAGTGTTTGCCCAGCCTTTGAGAAGCTCTGGGTTTGATCCCCTAAGAAAGTTGAGTTCTGATTCAGATTTGTGCATTTCCCATAAATTTTGTCTTCCTAAGGCAAAAAAAAAGAAATGGGGAAACAAATACTGAATCTAGCCAGTGATTAGCATGCTAAGGGGATTTAGAGATGACATGTAACAATGTTTGCATTTTCTTTTTTATTATAACAAAAATACGGAACACTTCATGAATTTACATGTCATCCTTGTGCAGGGGCCATGCTAATCTTCTCTGTATCGTTCCAATTTTAGTATGTGTGCTGCCAAAGCGAGCACAATGTTTGCAATTTTGAAAGATAAAAAATGATGTAAATGGGTGTGGTGGTACACAACTATAATCGCAGCACTGAGAGGCTGAGGGAGGAGGATTCCCTGGGCTAAACAGTGCAACCCTGTCTCAAAAAAAGAATAGATGAGGGAGGGACAGGGATTTAGGTCAGTGGCGCTGCGCCTGCCTTGCAAGCGCGAGGTCCTGAGTTCCATCCCTGGTACCTCAAAAGAATAGGTTAATATGTGATAAATCAAATATACAAAAATATTGATTATAGAATTTAGGTAGTAGGGATCAGTTTGCTGAACAACTTTCAATTTTTCTCTAAGTTTGAACTTTTTAATAAAATTAAAAATTATCACACATCCCTGACTATTGTTTTGTGGGGGGAACATTGAGGATGGGTGGGGGAGGAAGTAGAAAGTTCCCGAATTTGGTGAGCAAACGCCAATTCCTGTGGCCCCAGCACCAGATGGCCTCCTTACCCTTTGTCTCTGCGTGACCCCCTGGCCCCGCCTTTGCCCCTCACAGACCAGCACCCCTCCACCCCACAGTGCTGCTGTGAGGCTTCACCCAGGGCTTTGTGGAGAGAGCCTCGGCCTATTCATCACTCTCAGTCCTGTGCTGGGCCCCAGGATGCTGCCTCCGGTGGGAACTCCTGGGTCACCCACAGCTCTGCCAAAGCCGATGTGGCATCACCTGTCTGACATCTACCCACAGTGCCAAGCAGTGGCCTCCTGCTTCCTTTGCTGCTCTTTAGACAGAGAACCAGCCTCTTGGGACACCCACAGTCCGCCAGGGGAGACCCCACGCTGTCCCCAGAGCTGGCTGAGGCAGAAGCTGGGGTGCAGGGGACATGTCCACCAGGGAAGGCACCCATGGGCTGTGGGCAGCTCTGGCAGCGGGATGGAGGAGTGGCTGCCGCTGAGGGCGATTACTATCCTAGTTATTGCCCAGGCCTCAAAGGAAAGATGTTGTAACCCCAGCCTCAGCTGCACTTCCTCTCCTACCAGTGCTGGGGAGGCTCCCTGGTGGGTTGGGGAAGTTGAGGCAGAGGAGGGGCAGGAACATGTGAGGTGGCCTGGGAGGCTCTGGATAGCTAAGTGTTTCCCCGCTGCAGGCCACAGGTGCTGGATAAGCAGGGGTCAGCAGGGCCACTGGTGCAGGAAACCCCGGTGAGGGGACACTAGGATGGGGGTGGCCGAGCATGGATGCGAGTTTCCCTGGGCCTAGAGGAATCCTCTGTCCAGCGTCTAACCTTCTGTTCCCCAAAGAAATAAAAAAGAATCTGGGCGGGGACTTAGCTCAGTGGTACCGCTGCCTGCCTTGCAAGTGCAAGGACCCAAGTTCGGTCCCTGGTTGCAAAAAAAAAAAAAGAATACTTCTGGCTGGGCATGGTGCTGCACACCTGTGATCCCAGCACTCAGGAGGCTGAGGCAGGAGGATCGCTGAGTTTAGGCCAGCCTGGGCTACATAGTGAGTTCAAGGCCAGCCTGAATTACATAGCAAGACCTGTCTCAAAACAAAAAATGAGGGGGTGTGTACTGGGGATTTAGCTCAGAGGTTCCACTGCCTGCCTCACAAGCTCAAATGCAAGGACCCAAGTTGGATCGTCCATACCAAAAAAAAAAAAAAGCCACTTCTGCCCCCTAGAGCCTCATGGCCACACGGCTCACCTGTACCATGCGCCTGCCTCCCTCCCGCGCCCTGTCTGTCTCAGGCTGTAGTCCGGGGATCTGGTGCTGGGGGGAAACCAGCAGCCCCTTTTGCCCTCAAACAGGAACCAGTGGTTGGAGGGCAGGAAGTGCCTGAGAGGAAGGTCTGAGCCCAGACTCCTCCGTGCCCCACTTCACTGCAGCCCAGCAGGCCTGCTCTCCGGGCCCCACAGCTGAGGGGCACTGGGCACTTCCTCTCTGCTCCCCACCAGTGTCACCCGCCCCACCCCTCCACCTCCCCTTCTCGCTGTGTGGCACCCAGACTCCCCAGTGCCAGAGAGGCCCCTCAGACAGCAGGAGGGCCTGGGCTGGGCAGAGCTGGCCCTGGGCCTAGCCCTTCCACTTCCGGCAGGATGTCCTCATCTGGGAAAAGGGCACCGTAACTCTCACGCTGCCGGTGAGGATGAGGGCCTGCTCAGAGTTAGCACACAGGCGAGGCTCCTCAGCAAGGAAGGGCTGTGACAGGCCTCACAGATGAGGAACTTGAGGACAGTGACTAATTCCGGCCAGAGGGCCAGGCGAGGGGAGGCCAGCTGATGTCAGCCTGCAATGGACAGTGGCGGTTGCTCCTCGTGTGAGTACAGCCCGGCCTTCCACACAGGAAGAAAGGTGGAGGTCTGGGAGTCCTGGGGAAAGGCGGTATGCGGTTCACAGCAGGTGCTCAGGGGCGCTGGGGACCAGCCAGAAAGGGGGGGCAGGGACCCCAAGGGAGCCCCAGAAACAGCAAGCACTGTGGGAAGCCACCGAGGGTGAGCCGCACCAGGTGTGGGACTGGGTCACGGATGAGGGACACGCGAGCGCCTCTGCTGGGAGTGAGGCGAGGAGATGCAGAGGGAGAACTCTGAAGTTTATTCTGCTTCTGCAATGGTTGGACATGGGAACTGAGATCCCCTCGACCAGCCAGGAAGACAGGAGCTGAAGAGGGAAAGGACCTCTGATCCCTCTCCCCGCAGGCTCCTACCTCTACTGGGCCTTGGGGCTGGGCGGGCTCCTGCTGCTGCTCCTGCTCCTCAGCATTCTGGCCGCCTGCCTGTGCCGGCTCCATCGGAGAGGTGAGCCTGCCCTCGCCCTGAGTCACCCACAGCAGCGCCTGCCTGCCCGCCTGCCCGCCCAGAGAGGGCCCAGTCCCAGTGACCCTGACAGAGCTGGCCGGCGGGGGCTCCTGGGAGGGGCCGGGGTGGGCAGGACGATGCCCCTGCTAGGGCACTTGGCCCTGGGGTCAGCCCAGAGGCCTGAGAAAGGGAGGAGGAAGAGCACACGGGGAAGTGAGGCAGGGGCCATGTGGGTGGGGACTGGGCAGCACCAGGGCTGAGTGCTTCTTTCCTTGCAGTGAGGAAGCTGGAGAGGAGCTGGGTGAGTCTGGGGCCGGAGCCTGGGCCTGGGACAAGGGGGAGGGTGAGCATCAGAGGGGAAGCGAGAGACAGAAGAAAGACAATGAGAAGAAGCTAAGAGACGCCTGGAATTGGGAAGACAAAACAAGGCAGAAAAGAGAAAGAAATGAGAGACTAGATGAAAAATGAGGGAAGTGAGAGACAGAAAATGAGAAATAAAAGAAAAAGTAAGAGAATAAGAGTAGGGGAGAAAGTGAGAGAGAACAGGTGCCGGGAGGGAGGGGCTTCCGAGGAGAGAGAGGTGGCGGCACCGCGGCAATCCCAGGAGAGAGCAGGAGGCGGCAGGCAGGCCGGTCAGGAGGGTGGGTGAGGGCCCTGTCAGGACCCTCCCGGCAGCGCCTCTGCCTGCCCAGCCCCCGGAGCCCGAGCTGCACTACGCGTCGCTGCAGCGGCTGCCTGCGGTGCGCGGCCACAGTGACGGGGACGGCGTGGAGGAGGACGCCGGCGCCAGCACCGACTACGCCTGCATCGCGGAGAAAAAACCCACCTGAGCCGCCAGACGCCCTCGCCCTGGCCCCGGGTGGCGGTCAGGGTCGCCCTGGGCTCACCCAGTAAAGTCCGTGATCTCGCGCTCCCCTGTCTCGGCTTCTCATTCGTCTCAAGCCCCCCGTCAAGTGAGCGCCATCAAAACTCAAGCGCGCGTCTCCCACCCACATCCGCCGGGCGAGGAGGGGTGTTTAGGGCGAGAGCTCCCCACGGCCTCTGGGCCTGGCGGAAGCAGGTAGTCGACAAGTCCCACCATCAGACCTGAAATCTGGCTCTCAGGCCTTCGGGCCTCAGCCTCCTGGGGCTGGGCGAGGCACCCGGTGGGCTGAGCTCCAGGGTGAGGGAGGGGCTGCCGGCTGACTGCGGGCAGCTCTCCCCTGGACCTCTGCACCTCAGGCCTGGTGGAAGGGAGTTAACAGCTGGGAAGCCAGGTGTGGTGGCCCGTCCCTGTAATCCCAGCCCTCCAGAGGCTGAGGCAGGAGGATCGCCTCAAGTTTGAGGCCAGCCTGGGTCACATATTGAGCTCAAGGCCAGCCTGAACTACAGTGAGGCACTGTCTAAAAAAAAGCTGGAGGAGCTGGGCATGGTGGTGCACACCTAGACCCTAGCACTCAGGAGGCTGAAGCAGGGGGACTGGCAGGAGGAGCGCCTTGAGGTCAAGGCCAGCCTGAACTACATAGCAAGACTGTCTCGGAACAATACCAAAGAGCTCGGGGAACTCGACAGGATCTCTGGGGTGGCTGGAGAGTGGAGAAGAAAACACGCGAGACTCCTAGGCAGGAGGTGGCGCTGGGGCAGGATTTATTGGGGTCTCCCGAAGTGGACAGAGGTCCTGGGGTCTGGAGTCACTTTCCCGAGGAGGCCGTGGAGGGGCGCCGGTGTGTTCCCGCGTGACAGCGGCCTGCACGGAGGCCGCGGGAGCCGCTCAGCTCCGTGGCGTGGCCAGAAGCCTCCTGGGCTCCTCCTCGCTCCCGCCCCGGCAGCGCCACTCCTCACCTTTGCCCCGGAAGCACAGGGCGCTGCCCAAGGCCACAGAGAGGAAGCTGAAGGCGAAGAATCCGGCTCGCAGGAGCAGCGCTGCGCTGGACTCTGGACGCGGGGCCCCTGCGTGCGGCCGGGCTGGGGGCCCTGGGGTGAGGGCTGGGTGAGGGGGGTCCAGGCCCTCCGAGCCCGGCCCCGGCCCCGGCCCCCAGCACCTCACCTTTTCCCACCAGCAGCCGGGTCCCGTTCCCCGTCCCGACGCCCAGGCCCAGCACCTCCACTCGGCACAGGTAGACGCCGGCGTCGCGGGCCCGGGCGTCCCCGATGCGCAGCTCGGCCTGGTGCTCCCAGAGGAAGCGCGACGGCGCCAGGGGCGCCAGGCGGCCCCTGAACTCCGGAGTCGCGTTCCTCACCTCGTTTTCCGGGGCCACCTTGTCTCGGTACCACGTGACGGAGCCAATGGCCAGGCTGCTCCGGCTGGCATTGAAGGCGCAGGGCAGCAGGGCAGCGGTGCCCTCCTGGGTGTACACCTCCGGGGCTTGGGACACCCAGAGGTCACAGGATCCTGGGGCAGAGAGCGGGCCACATCCACACCCGCCAGTTACCCGGAGGAGAAGAGCTCGCGGTGGACTTTCTCGAAGTCCAGCAGTCCCGCCTCTCGGGGCCACAAAGGACAGCGCTTTGTGTGTGTCCTTCAGCCCTTTGCCTATACCTTCCGATTTTCTTAACACTGCTTATTAAATCACTTTCCAATCCCCCCCCCCCAACTCCTCATCCACCTCTCCCATGGCTCTCCAGCGGCCTCACTGGTGACTGCTGTGCTGAAGTTTATGCTGCCAGTACCCTGGAAACTCATCAGAATGCGGCTGCCTAGGGAACTAGTGTGGTTGCCTTAGTATTCTAGGTATTAGTTCACTACTGACATTCCATACTAAAGCATCCTTGCTACTTTTTTTTTTTAATTTATTTTGCTACTTTGTTTTTTATTGGAGCATTAACTACATTTCCTGGTGAAGACACACCTGCAGTTGGTTGAGATCCGTATTTAACTTCTCCATATTTTTTTTTTGTACCGGGGATTGAACTCGGGTCATTGAGCTTGTGCAGCAGGCGTTGAAACCACTGAGCTAAATCCCCGGCCCTTAACTTCTCCATAGTGATGAATTAAGCCAATTATTAAATTCTCTAGTTACAGCCAGGCAAGGTGGTACACGCCTGTAGTCCCAGTACCTGGGAGGCTGAGGCAGGACAATCACAAGTTTGAGGCCAGCCTGGGCTACACAGTGAGTTCAAGGGCAGCCTGAACTACATAGACCTGTCTCAAAAAAACAAATTTCTCTAATTAGGAAAATTTATCAGTCATTTTACTTCTGTGATTCTCAAACTAGAGTGTATATGGGAATTACCTGAAGTGTCTTTTTTTTTTTTTCCTCAGTTTAGGTCTCCCTAAATTGCCCTGGGTTCAAGGAATCCTTCCCTGCCTCAGCCTCCTGAGTAGCTGATGCTGCAGTTACCAACAGCTGTTACAAGAGTGACCTGGGGGCCAGGAAGCAGCACAATGCCTGCCTGGAAAGTGTAAGGTCCTGAGTTCGACCTCCCCCAACAACAACAACAAAAAACACAGAGACCTGGGCACCCCCCTAGATCTGGTGAGGTCCTGGGAATTTTCAAAGATTCCCAGGTGTTGCTGAAGCTGGATCTGGAATCTACACTTTGAGAAACCCTACATTTAGTTAACAAATATGACTATAGTTAATGCCCCTCAATTAACTAAAATTGACTTCACTAAAAAAAATTATCTTAAGACTTAATTAGGTCTGCCAGATTCCTAATTATATGTCTAGACCCTGGCTAATCAGCTTAGTTTTATAGGCTTTTTTTTTTTTTGGCTGTACTGGGGATTGAACCTAGGGCCTTTATAGTAAGCTACATCCCCAGTGCCCCTCCCCCCTTTTTCTTTTTTTGGTACCAGGAATTGAACTCAGGGCCTCATGCTTGTCAGGCAGGTGCTATGCCACTGAGCCACATTCCTAGCCTTTTTTTTTTTTTTTTGGTACTGGGGATCGAACTTGGGAACTTGCACTTGCAAGGCAGGTGCTGGAACCACTGAGCTAAATCCCCAGCCCCCAAGATACTGATTTTTAAGTACAGTCCTTTCTTGTGACTGGATGTACAGCTGTCCTTCCTAGCCTTTTTTTTTTTTTTTTTGGTTCCCACAGGGTGGTGGTATGCTGGAGACTGAACCGAGGGCCTAACTGCTTCATACATGTGACGCTTATGCTCTGCCACTGACCTACACCTAGCCCCTCCTTAGCTTGTAACTTCACTGGTTCTCTCTCCTTGTAAGTCAAGTAGGTTTTTAGTTTTTAATTGTCAACAGTATATTGTTTGATTTGAAAACTATAAACAAATGTTGATAAATAAATGTAGACCAGATTTAAGGTAAACTTCTTTGGAGGGGGTAGTACTAGGGATTGAACTCAAGGCCTTTACACTGAGCTACATCCCCAGTTCCCCTTTTTTTATTTTTTATTTTGAGCCAGGGTTTCACTAAGTTGCTGAGTTGCCCAGCCTGGGTTTGAACATGTGACCCTCCTGCCTCAGCTTCCCAAAGTGCTGGGATTACAGGTGTGAGTAACCACACCTGGCCCAACATGAACTTTTTGCTTTGATGCAAAGCTCTGTGTTACTCTTTTAGGTCTGCATTACAGTTTGCCCCCTTGCAAGCACTGTGCATTAAACTGTTAGTAAGAACATTGTTCTGGCTTTAAATTTTCTTTTTCTCTTTTTCTGTTTTGCTTTATACTTCATTACCCGCTACCTCATTCCCTCATACATTCCCTTAAGACTGTTACTAAAAGGCTTTTAATGCATAGCTGCCAAGGAAAATTGACTTTGGCTGATTTTCTCTTTACTTTCCAGGAGCAAGTAGGCTCCATTAAGGAGAGATATGACCACAGGCTCATGTTGAAGCATCTACCTCCAGAATTCAGCATCTTTCTGGACCACATCTCCTCTCTGGATTATTTTACAAAACCAGACTACCAGGTAACTACCTTTGTGAATCCATGGGTTCATTCTGCTTTCTCTTCTAACTCTCTCCTTTCACTCATTGGAGAGTGTTACGAATGAGTGTGGGAGGTCCCTACAGTAGTACTGTTTTAATACAGCCTGAGAAATGTGGTGAGTTTAATTGATGATGAGGGAGAAACTGATAGGTTTTTCTAGATGACCTTCATTAGAATTTTAAGTTTGTTCAGTAAAAAACAGATTGTACTCTTTCTGATTTGATTCCAAAAAAAAATTTTTTTTTTTTTTTTTGGAGACACGGTCTCACTAAATTGCCCAGTCTGGGCTCAAACTTGCAATCCTCTTGTGTCAGCCTTTCAGAGGGTTGAGGTTAACCACATGCACCACCATGCCTGGCCCAAAATAAAGTTTAAAAGAAAGTGCTAGGCTAACATTTTCAGAAATGTTAAGAGTGATAAAAAACCTTCAGTCTCATTGTGGCCATCTCGTAATTTAAGTAAATCCTTTTAGGTGGGCATGGTGATGCACACCTGTAATCTCTGCACTTGAGAAGCTGGGGCAAGAGCATCACTGGGAGTTTAAAGCCTGAACTTTGTAGTGAGTTCAGGGCCATCCTGAGCTACATAGTGAGACCCTGTCTCAAACCCAAAAATTAATCTATAAATAAATCCTTTTAAAATGTTTTGAGAAAAGAAAATATCTCAGAGGGGTACCTGTTAAAATTCTTGCCAGCCTTCTTGAATTTCATCACCTGGAGATGATATTGTTACCAGAGAATGGGAAACTAAGGTTCAGCATCAACTGGCGGCCAAAGAACACTGGAGCCTTCACATATTATTCTCATGATAATGACACACTGCAACATCACAGTGATCCTGGGGTATAATTACTCCTAGTTTACAGAATCTTAGTTTAAATATGTTGCCTAGGACCACAAAAGCAGTAGTGCCCAAATTAGTATCAGCACTCATTTCTGACTCACTTAGAAAGGCCCAGGCTCTTTCTGTTTTCCATGTGGCCTCTCGGAGAGGTAACCATAAACATAATAGGTACCATAAAGTAATTACTAGCATGACTGGTTAATGAAAGTGAAGTAAAAGAAATAATTACATGAGTAATTATCAGAAATTGTCAGAAACTATAGCCTTCTTGTATGCAAATAGCAGACTCATTGAGAGAGAAATTCGGGAAATAATTCCTTTTACAATAGCATCTAAAAAAAATGAAATATCTAGGAATCAACCTGACAAAGGAAGCAAAAGACCTCTACACTGAAAACTACAGCACTCTGAAAAAGGAGTTCAAGGAGGATATAAGAAAATGGAAA